TTGTGGATGCATTAAGCGTCTTGAATTGGAGGATAAATCCTCTAGATGATGGTTCTTAATTTATGCACTAATGCCTTGTATTGTTTTACAGCGATATTGATGTAGCACAGCAATTCACACTGAACCAAAGTCGAGTGGAAGAGATCACCATGAGAGAGGAAGTGGGAAATATTAACATTCTGCAGGAGAATGACTTTGGTACGTCTAGATCATGTCTTCGAGTCAGATGTTTCCTGCTTACGTTCCTCCAGTCTTTGAATGCCGTGATATGATACGGAGTTTCAGCCAGTGGCAAATAACTACTTTCACAACGTGGCGTTTGTTCGATGTTGTGTTGAATCCAGCTGACTTTGGGATGGATGACCGGGAGATGATGCGAGAGGAGAGTGCGTTTGAGGTAGACATCATCCATGGGGCCTCTGCTTCTAACCTGCTGCTGGAAACTGAGCCTGGGGCAGGCCAGATAGCGGAGAAGTCCAACCACCTTGAGTATGATGAGCAGTACAAAGATGACTTTGGGGACAACCCCATGGAAAGCAGTGAAGGGGGCATGTTGGGTAAGCCATCTGCTGCATCATAAACGGCGTTCGATATCTGCCTGGGATGATCTATGCTTAGAGGAAACTGCAGGAGTTAATTCTGTATGTGCTTAGAGGGTCTGAACCAGTTGAAAGCTAATTCGTCTTAAATTTTCCTCCAGTTCCTTGCTATCTGCAGTTTTGTAAATGAATATAAAAGGCAGGATCTAAGTTTGGATTGTTTAAGTAGCATTAAAGGTTCTCTGCCTCTCTATAGTGGATAAATTGCTCAGCAATGAGGATGGAGGGGGCATTTTTGATGACCCACCAGCCATCACGGAGAGCGTGATGATGCCGCAGGATCACGGTGGCGACGACGAAGACGACTTTGACAACTTGTCTCGTGAGTGTTTGGATGCTTTTGCTGCCTTTCTGTTTTAAAGTGATTTGGGGTGGGGGAGTGGGGGGTTTAAAATCCCTTTTATGTACCGAGTGTTTAAAGGTGTGTGTCTGGATGTGTCATAGCGGCTGGGCCTGACAGCCCAGACTCTGCCCAGGCGGAGCGCTTGCCGGCCATGACAGACCAGACGGAACAGACCACACTTGTTCACAATGAGGAGGAGGCCTTTGCTCTAGAGCCCATTGACATCACAGGTGAGCAGCCCTCTTCATTATTTTTAAGCCCCTCTTCATTATTTTTAAGCTAACTGTAAGATGCAGGCATCCCCCCGTTTTCAGTTTCTGTGGGTGAAGGACATGTTGTAAAATGCCTTTTCCAGTGAAAGAAACAAAGGCGAAGAGGAAGAGGAAGCTGATCGTGGACAGCGTGAAGGAGCTGGACAGCAAGACCATCCGTGCGCAGCTGAGCGACTACTCCGATATCGTCACCACACTGGATCTGGCCCCGCCTACAAAAAAGCTGATGATGTGGAAGGAGACGGGAGGTGTGGAGAAGCTGTTCTCCCTGCCTGCTCAGCCGTTGTGGAACGGACGGCTGCTTAAGGTGACACGTGGGGAATCGACCTGCATGATGGGCGGGACGTCGTCCTGGAGAGCTGCGGGTGCTCTCCCTATCTGCTGCTGGTCTCAGACCCTCTCTGTGTGAATAGATGTTCACGCGGTGTCTGACCCCGCTGGTGCCAGACGATCTGCGCAAGAAGAGGAAGGGAGGTGAGGCTGACAGCCTTGACGAGTTCCTCAAGGACCTGGGGAACCCAGAGGTGCCTCGTGAGGAGCAGAGAGATGTGACTGGTAGGGGTGTGCCTTTGTTACTCACACTGATGTAAAATTTTACTCCCTTTGAATTTTTTTAAATGTAGGTAGTCAGTTGGGGGGGAAATCAGATTGTCTTGGATTTTGCTCAACAACTTGGGAATGTTGCATAGAAAAGAGACTTTTCGTTCCCCTTAGACCAGACCATCATGGAGGAACCCAGTGTCCTGCAAGCTTCAGCCATAGAGGGCAGCCGGACCACGCTAGATGAGTCTGTCATGCCACCACCCTCCACGCAACGTGGGGTCAAACGCAAGGCTCAGGAACCTGAACCTGCCTTGCCAGTGAGTGAACGTCTGCTGCTGGTTTCTGGTGATGGCAGATGTGGATGTGGTGAAGAGCGCTCTCTCAGCTCAGTGTCTGCATTTGTAGATGGGCACTCTGGAGCAGCAGGTGGAACGATCTGCAGTGTCTCAGCAGCTGGACATGTCCCAGGTTGACCTGCCCCCTGAGGAAACTCCCAGCCTCACACAGCTCATCCCTGAGCTGGACCTTCTGGGAGAGAAGGGCAAGGAGAAAGAGAAGGATGATGAGGAAGAGGAGGAGGTGTGCACCTTTTAAAGCCCATTTCTTTGAACTCTTGCAGATTTTCAGACTAATTTCAGTAGGAGCATAAATGGTAGTTTTTTTTTTTGTTTGTTTTTGGATTTCTGAGGCCTCAAAACTTTTGTTTTTTTTACAGGAGGAGGGCCAGGGTGGAGACCAGGACCAGGAGGAGAGGAGATGGAACAAAAGAACTCAGCAGATGCTCCACGGGCTTCAGGCATGTCTTAGAATGGGCCGGGCTGCTTAAACTACTGAAAGGCTACATTCATGTGCTGTGGGAGCTTATTCCTCGCTTGTTCATGGTGTTTTTTTTTTTAATGCAGTTTGGGTTGGAAATATATTTATTAAAGCTGAATTCAGTGGTTAATATTTAATATAAAATGAGTGATAAACATTAATTTCTTAATATATGTTTTCATATAGCAGTTGTATAGCAGGGTTATTCAACTCACGGTCCTCGAGGTCCGAGTCCTGCTGGTTTTCCAGCTTTCCTTTACCTGTGAGCCAGGTGTGAAGCCTCTGACCAATCAGAATCAGTAATTATTAAGCTAACTACCTGGGAGAACTGAAAACACGGCCTGGATTTGGAATCGAGGGCCTGAATTGAATAGCCCTGTTGTATAGGAATTAATGGTCTGCTGTTGAACTAAGGCTGGGAAATGGTTTAAGTTTAGGCAGCTTGGTTCATCCTCCTCCCCACCTGCACCCCATTCTGGTGTGGGCCCTGTGACCCGGCAAGAACAGATACCCCAAAGTGTCTGTGTGCCCTGCCCTTTACGACTCATCCCTGCCATGCGGAATCCACATGTGGAACATGCTTTGTGCATGTGCTTAGGAAATACAGGGCTTGTTTAAGTGTGCGCTTAAAACATGAGGCCATTCCCTGTGTTCACAGAGGGTCCTGGCAAAGACGGGAGCAGAGTCCATCAGCCTGCTGGATCTGTGCAAGAACAACAACAAGAAGCAGGCAGCTGCCAAGTTCTACAGCTTCCTGGTGCTGAAGAAGCAGCAGGCGATCGAGCTGACGCAGGCCGAACCCTACAGCGACATCATAGCCACACCTGGGCCGAGGTTTCAGATTATATAAGCAGTCTGTCTCTGGCCATCCTACACTAGCAGGTTTTAATCTGCAAGATTTTGTTTGTATATTATGTTGTTTTTTTGGCAACGTCTGAAAATTATGTCTGGAGTTTTTTTTTTTTTTTTTTTTTAGTTTTTTTTTATCATGGTTCAGATTTTTCTGCATTTCCTCTCCAGTGATGAAAGTTGTTGAACATTTGACGCATTTAGTCATTATTATAAATTATTCCAGACTGCAGCAGTTTTTTTTTTTTTATATTTTGGGGCTATTTTTCTTTTAAGGACCACTAGTTTAGTGGCTTTCAGCATTCCATTAGATTGGTTTACATGTTACCAAGTGCTTTCCATGGCTTTAAAGTTTTTATGCAGACTAAATGTTTTTACCATTTTGCAAGATCAGAAAATATCTTACGTGATCTTTACTCATTTGAAAAATGAGGATGTCAGTGCACAAACCAGTCATATTCCCACTTCGATTTGTACCTGGAGAATGTTTTATTGTGGGGAAAGCAAACACTTCCCCTGTTTTAAAGTCACCCTCCAGTGCTAGTGTTTATGGCTTTTATGTTGTATCAAAACTGCATTTTTCAGCAGCTGAAACTGGGTATTTGCCATAATTTTAACCACAAGCTTGAAATCTTAATCAGAGTTTTTGTGCATATGTTGCATTTTCCAGATCAGCCCCTCTGGTCTATCATGGAAAGCACACTTGATGTGAATGTATGTGCTTATGTATGAAGATGCTTTCATTGTTGTCTAACAATGTCTCTGGGTTTCCCATGAGGAAAGTGGGGCTTTATTTCTCTGCAGCAACAAAGAACATTTTTGACCAGTTCCCCCTTATGAATCAGAAGGCAGCCATTGAAGAACCATGTCTGTATTATAAAGTAACCAGTTTCTATTAAATTGCTTCAAAGCATACTTATGTGCCTGTAAACTCGCATCACTTTTTGTATAATAAAGACTTGTAGATACCATTGTAATTCAATGTTCATGTCAATACTGTTTTGGTAGTCATGCTTCAAGTTTAACATTCGTTCTGCAACTTAGTAACTGTGTAATGTATAACTTTTCTAATAAACTTATGAACACCTTCAAGGAGTCATTATTAAAATGTTACGGGAAATTAATGGGAAGCAGTGGAATTGCAATGTAGACCAGCCTATTCTAGGAAATGCCTAAACAGGATGTTTAATATACTACCAAGTAGTACAGCTGTCCTTTGCCATCAATCCCTAGGAATTCTATCGAACTGTCAAGTGAGGTACCGGACCCTGCCAGTCCATACCAAAAGGGATGACGTAGCAGAAAGGTAAAATATGCCCATATTTTTTTCCCTTTCCATAGGTGCTGCTTTTGTGCCACTTTCGCCAGGTTAAGTCTGTATTTCATTCCTGCTGTAAATTCCAGATTTGTGTTACTCGGGACCATGGACTTTTGTTGAGCTGAGGTCACAGAAGGGCTGAATCAGTCGTATGGTAACTACTGAAGCTGTACTTTTACAGTGCTTGGAGACTATATTGTGTGTGTCTGCAGGAATGCAAAAATAAAACGCACCAGATTTCAGTAAATGTAATACAGTGATAATCTATAAAAATGACTCGAATTTACTAGGGACAATCATAAAAATGTTGACGTACTTGGCAGATTTTACAAGAGGCATAGGCATAAATTATGGGGGGTGTAACCCCACCCCCACCCACAGTAATCAAAACCAGACAATCAGAAAATGAGTTGAGACCTCAAACCCCCCTCCCCCCCAAAGTTACACCCTTGAGTGGGGGGTCCTACAAAGTCATTCCCTATCTGGTCTGTCCTGGGGAGGGACAGCTTTCCGCCTCCGGTTTCTACTTCGTTTCTTTTCTTCATCGGCTCGCTTGGGCGTTGGAACGCCTGGCTTCTTCTTCTTCTTCAGGCAGCTCAGTGGGTTGGGGTTCCCAGATTTTTGCTTCCGTTTCTTGCCTCGTCTCTCTGCCTCACACCCCAGTAGCCCTTTCTCCTCTTTCATGCTGTGGATGCTCTGCTGTTGCTCCGGGGTCACCAGCTGTCCAGCCTGCACTGCCTGGACGTGGGCCACCGAGCAGGGGGATGGCTTGTCCAATACAATCGTGTTCAGTATAATGTACAGCAGAGGTACGCCGACTGCCTTCTTGACTGCTTCTGTCAGCTCCTTGTCCTGATAAAATGACATTGTGGAGAGAGATCAACTGAACGTATCTACAATGAATGTTTAACTTACAAAAAACTATATATGGACAGTTCATTGACTACATTGCATGCGGCATATTATACAGATGCTCAATACATTTCAGAAAAGTTTAGCTTTACCTGAGTGGCAATGAAATAATGATGGGGATTAGTTTCCTCCAGCATCGATATCAAACACTGCGAGGCGGGCACAGGATCTTTAAAATGCGCACAGTGGCGAGTCTGAAATCGCTGCAAGATTATTTTAGCTCCATAAAGCTCTTTCCCCAACGATTCCAGTTCCTTCAAAACACAACTGAAAAAAAATAAATACAACGTAGGTATAACGTAACATATAGATCACAACAAATACGAATTACTGAGGCTGTAAAAGATGAACCAGTGCTTCTCTTTTTCACACATGCATACGCAGCTGACAGTACGACTTACTTCGTGGTACATAGTTGCAGCTCTCCCATCAGATACTTTGGCATCTGCTCTTTTATCTGGATTTTATTCTTCAACGCGGCTTGGCAAAACGTGCCATCAAGTAATATTTGAAAAGGTTCCCTAAACCCAAAGTTATATTTATAAAAACTAATGGTCTTTTTAGCTTGCTTCTGTCGCTTAATTTTCATCCTAACAAGTTAATCAGTTTTAACCCCAAGCGCGAAACACAACTGTTATTTCTACTGGATACTTCGGACCGCTGTAACTAAATTATTATGACCCGCATGCTAACGTTTCATTTAACAAACTTTGCACGGTGGAGAGCACGGTACGCATGGGTTCCGAGAAGTTACGTGAAATATTTCCGTCAGGAAGCAAGTAAATACCCAAGATCCTCTTTTGCTATAATAATGAAATATATGCCATTTTAAGAAAACGTAATCAATTGATATTTAAAATAAAAAGGAACGAATCCGTATAATATCATATGGATTATCTTTCATATTTTTAAGTTAAATGTAAAAGTAAATGTAAAATGTGTGCCTAGGAACATGTTTAAAGGTTACGTTTCACTACTGCCTAATAAATAGCTGCATCACACGACCGGAACTGTCGGCAAAACGGGAACTTCCGCCTTTTTCACGAGCCGTAATTTGAAAAGATGGCGTCCCGCAAGGAATCCGGCACGACACCTAATAACGCTATGTCTCAGGCCTCGGCCAATACACTGGACTCCCCGGTGAAGCAGATACAGATAGAGGGCTTGGTGAGTCAAAGCCGAAAGTGTGATCATAATGTCTATCTGTATAACTTCATGTGAATATAATGAAAAGTTGAAGCGTGGACCGCTTGCTAGGCCTGACTGCTGGTCTGAAATGCAACTGATATGCTGGTACTGTGATAACTGCTAGCATGTGGGGGAAATGTAACCAGCAACGAAAGATTTGTCGTTTCTCTTTATTTTAGGTCAGAGACGATAATAGTAGGTGGTTGATGTGCTATTTGATTATTTAAAAGGTGGGAAAATATCGATGGTATTCAGTTAAAATTTAATTGGTTATATAGTTTTGCAATTTATAAAGGCAACAAAATATTATTGATATTTCTTTTCGAGTGGTTTAAAGATGTCCTGAGTTAATCACTGGGTTTTTAAAATTGAGTTTATATGCCTTCTTATTGTTTCCTTATGTAATCCATAATAATCCTTAGGGTGAATGAGCTTCCATGGTGTTTTTAGACTAGATAAGATACGTACCGGATCTTGCTACCCGTGTGTCGTGGATAAAAATATTTTTTACTAAAGCATTAAAAATAAGACTGGTAGATATTTCTAGCGTCGTGTAGTGTGAAAGCTGCGGGTCATGTAGTGTCTTCTTGGTTTATTTTTAATTTCGGGGCAGTCGGTCTACAGTAGGTGGAGCTGTACAGCTGTACAATAACCAAACCGAAAGCTCCATCTTGCGCTGATGCCTGCCTCCCTACCGCAAATGTATATTGTAAATAGGTTACGATGCTGACATTGAGAAGCACAGAGATTAAGCTTGTTGATATATACGGGTATGATGTGACTCTGCTGTGTATGTCCATCCATCTATCCATCCATCCATCCGTCCATCACCATATCCATTTGGGCAGCAGTCTGAGCAGATATGCCTAGACCTCTCTCTCCCCAGCCACCTCCTCCAACCCCTCTGGGGGAATGCCCAGGCACTCTCAGGCCAGCCGTGACATATAGTCTGCAGAGTAACCTTTTAATAAGAAACTCAATGGCTCATTTATTCAATGAAGATGAATGGATATCGATTCCATTGGTTGAGCTCCGTGAATCAGCTGAACCCAGCTAAAGAAACAAGGCCCATTTATTGAGATCTGTGTGCAGGCTACAAGATGGTCTCCTTGCAGCCTATTGTGGATGTTTTTCTTGACCGGCAAATACATTAACTGTTGGGCTTTAAAAGTAACAGCTGATAGCTTAAAATATTGATAGTTTAAAGCAGAAAATCCCATTTTATTACCCTGTTCATGGTTGAGAAGTCCCTCTCACAGTTTACACTGCTGACCGGGTGGTTGACGCGGCATATTTTCTGACGCACGCTCTCTGTCCGCTGGTGGGAGTGTGCTCACCTGTGTGTGCGTGTACATATCGGGGCGGAAGTCCGCCACGCGCGATACAGAGAGCAGAGGAGAATTGTGAATGCGTGACTGTGTAAAGACAAAAAAGACGAGCTATTGTGTAAATAAGATAAATAACATAAGGCTATTTAGTTTGTTTAATAAAAGGACAATGTATAGACCTGAAAGGTAACTTTAAATGACTTATGTTGTGATCTGGTGCTATATAGGGAAAAAAAAATTAAATAAAATTAACTTGACCTTCAAAGGGAGTTTGGAGGTGCTCCCCCCCCCCCCCAATATAATGGTAGGGGAAACACTGCTGAGAGGAGTACGCCTATACTGACCACTGCTCCCAGTATTGTGCTTTACCTTTGTGGTCATGAGTATTCAGGGTAGCCCTGCAGCAATGGCGGCTAAGAACTGCACTTGCTTGAGTGTAGTGCAATGACTTCTGACCATTTTTCTCAGATAAACGTGTATATTCTGGCTGCAGTGTCTGTACAGGAAGCAATGCCTGTTGGGTATTGAATTAATCTTGAAAGAAGTCAGCCTGAGATGGCCCTAACCTTTGTACAGTTACTGATTTATATGTACATCCTAGCAGCTTTTTGTCTGTTAGTCTCTCCATTCTCTGACGAGATCTCTGAAGTCTTTTATCCCTGATATTGCATATAAAAGGCTGGATGTGAAAGGATAGCGTGGACAGCCGGGTCTTTGTTTGATGCTTGTGTGATGGGAACACTGAACACCCACTTGATGCGTTTGCTGCTCTGAGACGTGTGGTCTTCTGTGTCGCTCTGGATGTTCTCATCCATTCAGAACAGGTTTCTTGCTGCAAAGAATGTTTTTTTTTCTTTCTTTTTTTTTATAATAAACTTCTTCATGTAGTGGTTGAGTTGCAGGAGAGAATTGGGTTCACGGAGGACAGTTTCATTAAGTTTATGGTTTTGTGTTGTCCTTAACTGTGAGAGATCAGCCAGACTGACTTCTGACTGATTAGCAGATCACTCCTCTGTGATTGACAGGCTTTTGAAAAACGGCTGTTTCTGCCTTTTAGTGCTGCTCTTCAGGCACATTCATTGATCTCACTGGAAAACGGAAGGCCGTTGATTTGACTTGTGGTATATCATAGCTCTTGTACGTAATGAATGCTTGCAACATAGGGAGGGGCACTTATAAATGAAGGTCCAGATGACTTCGCAGTTGGTTCTGGTATTACTCTGGTCTGCTTGGGTATGTCTCATTGTGTTGGATATCATAAAGACCTGAATATCCAGTGCTGAAATGTATGAAGAGAAATCACACCTTACTAGGAGAAACTTCTGAAGTCAGAGCATCCATATTATGGCACACGGTCTAATTGTGCTTGTTGGCTCCTGGAAGAGCACACAGTTCCAGAACTCTAGGCAAGGCTTTCAAAGGGCAGTGCTATGGAAAAAATGGTCTGTGCCATGAACTTACCATAGTACCCGCTGTGTAATACAGTTTAGTGTTTGTGTGTTAGAGCTGCTTGTTTGTGTGAAGTGAGGGTTCGGGTGTGAGGTCAGTCGATGGCACGTCACTATTCTACTTGTACATAGGATGGCCGTGGTATACTGGTTTCACGGTGTACCATGGTATGAACAATGGTTATTATACCATGTACATTTGCTTATTACCGGTATTGGGGGGGGGGAATGCAACTGAACCGAGTCTCACCTTTTGAGTTCAGAACTCATTTCTTTTGGATCAACACTCTTACCTAAATATCCCATGTCTGAAATTTTACTTTATATTTCCATCAGTTAAAATTGCTGCTCTGCAGTGACATGGGATTCTGCTTTACTCTGCTATACTCTGCTTCACTCTGAACTGGAATATGACCTTTAGGTGTATTTTGTATTTCTTGCATCCATATTAATATCACTGATATCAAATGATAAAAAAAAAACTAAAAAAACAGAACTGTCAATGCAAACACTGGGATCAGGGAAAAGAAAAGTGCAAAGTGCAAAGTCCAAGCACGTAATTACATCACAGTACCTTTGGGAAGGTGGTTTTTTTTAAAGGTGTTATTATGACTTAAAAATGTGCTGATGTAACTCTATTATTAATGTATGTTTAGCTCGCTAGCAACGTTTTATGAATTATAACTATACGTATAGCTCTGTTTCATTTATGTTTTATTAGATTAATAATGTATATTTTAGCTCCATAAGAACATTATGTTTATGTTTTATTGATTATTATCTAAAGAGAGTGTAGTTTTTTTTTTGTTGTTTTTTTAAGATCCAGGTGAGGTTGCCATTCTGTTGGTATGTTTGAATAACTTGTGGCCTGTTAGAGGATTTTAATTCTGTGACTGCCCTTCAGCAGGGAGCAGTTAACCCAGACATGTTTGGGTCTCTCCAGGTATTGAATTCCTCGCAGCTTTCATCCAGCGCCCCCTGCTGGCCAAAGGAATGCTCCTTTGCCGCTTTCTCTTCCATGCCCAAATCGGGTGTCCCCATGATTGCTTTGTCCGCAGTTCTGAAGTGAATCAAATGAAATTTGCTCTGCCGAACATATTGAGCTTTTGTGTTGGTTTTTTTTTTGTTCCTATACTCTTGTAATGTGTAATCTAGTAAGTATTCACTCAGCCAGTCTCCCTGCCACCGCGAGCTCATCATTACTCAGATGAGGACTCCCGCCTGTCCTGTGGCATCGTTCTTGCCGTGAAGATTGGCAGTTGAGCTGCCTTGCTAAGCGGCGTGTTTCTGGCCTGGGCTGGTAACTTACGGTGGGTACAATCAATGTTCCGTCTGTCGTCGTCTTGCCCTACACTTGGTGTACATGTGCGACGCACCTCGGTGTCGCAGGTAGAATATCCCCTGCTGTGCCTGTCAGCTGGAGGACTGAGCTGGTGGTTGAACCTCCATGTGCTTCTGAGCCCATGGATGGTCCTGATTATGACATCATCTGTTGATCTTCATCTCAGTGAGTCTTCTCTGCAAAACCTCAGTGGTGACGTCAATCTTCCAGCTACCTATCCTGATCAGGATTCTTTGGGGATCGTCTGGCTATCACACACCGCAGGGACACACACTAGGCTTCTGTATCTATGTGTGTGTGTGTTTGAAGTAGTGATGACTTTCTTTTGGTCCATAGAGACCCCAAAGCATTAGTGAACCTACTTGAAGCTACCTCCCCCCCCCCCCCCTCCCCCTCCCTACCTAAGCTATGTGTGTCTTGTCAGTGCTGGGCCTTCAGAGACTCCTGAAGGCCAGGTGTGATCTCGAAGCGTCTATTCTAAGGAAGGCAGGACTTTCCATGGCACTGCTCTTGAAGCTAAACATGGTCGTCATCACCTTCATCTCTATGGCTGGAGGCCTAA